TCCTAGAAAGAAATTGGTATGCCGTGATTTGTTCTGGATAACTACAGGCTAGTTCTTTCCAAGTTATTTTAAGGTTCTAACAAATTGTTGAACAATTTTCCAGGGAGCGAAGTGAAGATGAATGGTGTCTATTTCCCGGTTTCTTCTTTTGAAGGTAGGCTGGGATTGACTCTTTTTTTGTCTTCTGCAACCTGATTTATGCTCTACTAATTCTCAAAAGTAAATTCTGATGAGTCGCTTAAACTACAAATTGGGCCACTAATTGGGTAGTTTTCATTTTTGGGTGCTCAGCATAAAACATCTGCAGCCAGATTTGCAGAAGGGAGAAGTGAGCTCTCTATGTCGTTATAAACAAGCTAAATGCTTGTGCTTTTTCTAAAGTGGACATTGAAATTTAGTAGTTGGTTTTGGTCAATGCAGTTATAATTCTCCTCTCTCTGAAGTCTGCAATTGTCAGGTGAACTAAATGATGCCACCTAACATAGTGGGTATTGCGCAGCTAAATTTAATAGTGTTTATAGAATACTTATGTGGCAAGGGTCATAAATAGGAGTTAAAAATTGCACTTTGTGCTTGGTTGGAAAGCGTTGGGGTTTTTTTTTGCTAAGCTTGGGGTTATGCACTAAATGTTAATGGTTAAAAATGTTTTAGCTACTCAATCAATTGAATTGGGTGTGTATCTTACAAAAAAATAATGGTGAGTTATTTCACAATGTACGGTTTACAATGCACATTTAAAAGGCAACTGAATGTAATTTATATCAGCATAAAAGAGGATTGAATTTCATTTATATTGACACCCTTAACCGGAGCTTTCATTAACGAATGTTTGACTTTGCAATCACAATGGGCTTGTCATATTTTTTCCTGATAGTAATTCTTCACCAGGCCCTGTTCTGCCCACACCTCTGGGGTGGCTGAAGGTTTTTCCAGCTGTCCATCAGATGATCCGACTCTTGTTTGTCATGGTGGGTTTTTCTCTTTCACCATCCTCTTTAGAGGTGAATGAATCTGTCTCCAGTGGATTGCTCTGTTTTGCTGGGCTTTTTGTTTGGGGGGGGGTTACTTTTGCGTTGCATTTGTTTGGATTTCTTTTCTTTTTTCCTTTGCTTTAATACTTTCTGCACAATCAGGAGACGAAATAACATTGCTCATCTAAATGCGATAGTCTTTACTCAAGCACCATTCTCTATGAGGTTTTTGCCTGAGGTTTGCAAGATTTTGCCTGTTCTGTGAAGATTCATTTAAATTGCCACGATGTTTTCATAAACATTAAAAGGATAAAACCTTGGCATTAAACTGTCTACTAAGCCAAACGCACAACAGGGAATTCTTAGTTGCTGTACTCTTTGACAATGACATTTAGATTTTTGTTCCCATATTCTTGTTTTGGAGAGAGGATTGAGATGTTTGGAGAGGGAGGAGAGATGTTGTTTGTCTTAGTTATATGACTAGAATGAAAATATGAGTGCAATGTAAAGGTCCTGATCTTACTCCTGAAGAGGTTTTGCACTTTGTAGGATTGCAGAACAAATGATACAAATCAAACACGTAACTCCTGGTTGCTTAATTCTGTAAACACATTGCTGAGTTCAAAAAGTCATTGATGTTAAGGTAGAAGGGTTGACAGATGGCCGGTTTGAAACTTGTCCAGAGCAGTGAAGAAAAAAAATAATTTCTAACTCAGACTGTAGCTATTTGACCTTATTTTATATGAACTTTTTGATATATACCTGATCCAGTTTATAATGGTTAATAACTATAATTCTTTTTTTTTTTACGGTGCTTTTATACAAGGACTCTCAATAATTATTAAGACGAGGGGCCCAATATCCCACATGCTATGCACATGTAATATACAGGACATCCGTTAAACTAGAGAGCTTACAGTTTATTTTTCCATTCTCTTTGTAATTGAAAGAATTGGCATGAATGTTGGTAGATCCCGTGTAGAATCTAAAGATTGAAAATAAAGAATTTTCACATTCTATCCACCTTGGAAGAAGCTGAATCAAACATCAGAAAAACAGTGCATCAGAATGTGAGGGCATGCACCACGCTGTATCAGCTGAGAATGAACCATACAAAGTCTCACAAAGAAGAGTAACAGTGAGAGCATGTGAAATCCTGGCTTTACGATCTGGGCTCATTCCATATTGCTCACGAAATGTAATGAAAATGTAAGGAAACATCAGGATGGGACAGGTGTTGTGCAGTCCCCTGTTTCCAGGCTTGCTTTCAGAACAAAACCAAGTTCTCTGTGTGTGCAGCACTTAATGAATGGCACGCAGAACAGGGAAGTGGGGCTTTCGGGGAATCTTTGGCATGTGAAGCTCCAGACTAGATAAACCATCTAGTCAGATTGGTTTGAACCAAATCAGAATTTTCCTCAAGCATAATTTGGAGTTTGGATGCCATGAAGAGGTGTGGGCTAGAAACCAATTCTTTGGCTTTACCTGCACATTCTTTTTGTGCTGCTATAAATAGAATGATATATTATAGCCACCTCTCAAGACAAGGCATGCCGATGTGTTGATTACAAGTGTTCTACTTTATTAAAGTATGTTTGCGAATCTCAATGATGACGCTGCAACGAGATTAATTTCGAGATGCAGGATACAAAAATGAGGCGCGCACTTCCCAAGAGCATTGCAGGAGTCTGAGCTGTGACACGGGGCATCACAGTAGTAAGAGCTGTATAGAAACTGGAGAGCAGAGGGGCGGCGTAGGTTGGCCTGCGAAGGGCTAGATGAAAGTATTTGCGGCTGCTAGTGTGGGGTTTTTTAACACAGTCCTATTTCATTCAATGGGGTTTATCTCACGAGCTGTTTGTTTTCACCAGGCTGTTCCCAACCGCCCCCTTTGGCACACGCTTCTTTTAATCTCTAACGTCTCTTCTGCAACTTCCCTGCTTCAGGCTGCCTCTGAGGCTGTTCCCAAGCCTCTGGGTGTGCACAAACTCATCTTGGCCTTTCTCTGTTATTGTGTTTGTGATAGACACATCCCGAGGTGTGCGGCAGATCCCTCTGCCTCCGCAGTGGCGCGAGATGTGAGCCAAGAGCGCTAATGATTTAATATAATGAGATTTTCATCCTGAGCAATAATGCATTCCTTGTTGGGTCAGGTAATTTAAAGAGAAGTAAACTATTGCCTGATCAGTTGGCAGAGTTTTGTGGGGTTTGTGTTATGGGCTTCCCCTCTCCCTGGCAGTACAGGACTTCAATGGATGTGTGGACCGGCCTGGCTGTGCTCCTGCTGACCTAGGGAGCGAGAACTCCTGGTGATTTTGACGGAAGCAGTAGGTCATTGCTGCAAATGACTGAATTCCCACCCACTCTGCCTAAAATTCAGGTCATCGATCTTGGAATTGGAGTGAAGTTGTGAACTGTCTCTCCATGGAGTCCTGTTAGGGGGGTTCTTCAGGAGCATGCCGCTCTGAACAGACAGGTCTGATTCCTCAGGGTGGCTCAGTTAGCGTTTCATGGCGTCTCCTGAGAACACAGTCTCTCGAGTTTATGAAATCAATTACACTTTTTAACAGCAGCTTAACACCCCCTCCCCCCGAATCAAGTTTATGTGTAGTAAAGTGTTGTAAAACGAAAAGTTAAGGAGGGAAGGAACTATTGGACAGACAAGGCTGCATCTGAGGAAGAAAAGATCAGAAAGAGTGATAGAAATACAAGGAACTTTTAATGAAAGATGGACAGTCCAATGGACACTAAGGATTTGTGGACAAAAATAATAAACATATCTTTTTTTTCCCCAAATATTATCTTTTTGAATCAGCTAGCAGAAGTAAGCTCATCAAATGAGATGAGAAAGCCATGACTTGGATGGCCCATCACACAGTTCAAATACCTGACTACAACTGTGGAGTATTAAGAACAAAATTTACAGAAAAGCATTTTCTGAGCAATAATTTGTTTGCACAAAATATTTAGCTAGCAGTCTGAAGCAGTAAACAGGTGAACAGACTGCAGTTGTCTAATTTGTGATCAGGAAAACAAGGGCTCAGTTCAGTAAATAAATCTAAGTAAATGGATAGTTCTTGGTTGTTTATCAGTGCTCCCTGACATTCCCTTGGCTTCACGGAGGGAATTGCTTCAGCAGTTCTGGTGTTTCAGCACTGTTTTGTTTTTCTGCTGTTACTGGTGGCTTATGTGAAGGGCAGAGACAAAGTGGGACAGGGCTGTGAAATGTGGTATCCTCTCTTGAGAATGTTTTGGAGATAAGGGAGGTCATGTTGCCTGGGAAGATGTGCTGTCCTTGAAAAAAATCATTGGGCAATAATAGACTAATTCTGATTAGGGAGAGTTTAGCAGAATCCGAGATGGAAGGGAGAGTGAAATCCTGATTTTCCAATACTCCAGGGCAGCTGTCAATCTTGAAAGAATCTGCTTTCAGAAGTAATTCTGTGAAGTTTTCAGCAGGCAAGTTGTCCTTTCGTAGCTGCCTTGTTTAGGGGACTGACGGGCTGTGAAACGTTAAAAACATTGCTGCCTGCCAATCCAGACACAATCGAGAGCTGTGATCCGGTCTGGCATGCGTTGACTCCTGGAGAACTTGAAACATTGCCCAAAATGGAGAGTTTTTAAGCACAACTGTTTCCCCTTCTGCTGTTAGAAAGCACGCAGGCTCTCTCTGCGTGAGGGCGGTTACTTGGGTACAAAATACCTAGATAAACAGATCTGGAATTTAAACAGGAGGAGGTGGAAGGCACAGCAGCATCAGGGCCAGGTGCAGCAGAGGACGGGGGTCCACGCAGAGCTCTCAAGCTTCCTCCACTCCTTCCTGGGAAGCAGAAGCTGAATTTCTGTCCCCGTCCTCCTGCACTCCCAGCTGCGCTGGATCCTCCCCTTGGCAGTTCCCTCCCCAGTCCTGCCCGCCCCTTCGCTCTTGTATATATGACCCTCTCCCAGCAGCTTTTGCTTCACAAAAATCAAGTCCGGGCAGCCATACTCCCTCCTGCGCACACCCAGCAGCCCTGAGCGTCCGATCCAACATGGGTAAGAGATCCAGCCAGTGGATCCAGCTGGGATCTGCTGCCTTTGGCTCCAGCTCTGCACTGTGACACTTGTAAGAGGGGGCCGGTGGGTTCCTTAGCGTGGTGGGCTGGTGAGGAGAGACCCAGGGCTGAAGTTCAGCATTTCCTCCGACTATTAAAAGGTTTACTTCTTTATTGAACCCCCCCTGTGGTTTTAAATAAGTAGCTTTAATGCTATCAGTAAATGCCTTTTATGCTACCATTAAATGTCTCTCTCAGTACCTCAGCATTTAGGAACTGCAATAAGCATTTGGACTCACCGCTCTGTTCACTGTGGATGTGAATGGCTCTTAGGAAGGTTGTCGGGAAACTCAGGACCAGAATTTAACTCTTTGCTTATATTTTTCTGATAGACCCTATAATTTGTATGGACTTTCATTTTTGGATACCTGGACAGGAAATGGAGGGAGGGGACTAAAACAGATGGCGGGTTTTTTGCCTGTGAATATATTATTGTGTAATTTGCAAGGAGGACGCTGTTACATTGTCATTTCACAACACAGGGTAAGATTGTAGATCTTAGTCAAAAAAAGCCATTATTACACAGACAAAAACAATGATTCTGACTCAGCAGAAGTGTCTGGTCTGGTTTATCTGCCATGGGGGAATGGTTATCTTTTTGTGCTGCTGGAAATACTCATAGTGCAATTATATTTGTCTTGCTTTGCTTTCCAACGGTATGTTTCAGTGTTTAACCTGTGATAATAACAGTTTTGTGGCAGTCTGTAGGAAGTCGCTAGGCAGTGTGTAAAGAGTAAGTTAAATACTGCACCTTAGAGCTTAAAGTACCATGAAGGTGATTGATTGCTCACAAGGTTTGGAAAAGTATGCTCTTGGCAGTGTCGGAGATCAAGTCTTGGACTGCTCTTCAAAAATTTAACAGATCATTAAAGTCTGCTTGCATAATTTGTTACTTGGGTTCCATAAAATATGTGCTGCTTTTGTCTCTGCTGTTCTGGAAGGCCTGTGTCTTGTCATGGACATAGTACAGCTGATATACCAATTTCTTTTTTTCCCATTTGTGTGTGTACTTCAGCAGTTTAGCACAATCATACCATAAAACAGATTTGTCTGCCTTCATTTTTTAACGTATCAGTGTTTAACCCACGCATACACCTTAACTTCAGAGGACTTTCTATTTACTCAGGCTCTGCAAAAAGCCTGGTCTGGCCCAGATTTATTCCACCTAACTTTAAGCTCTCAACAGAGGTGCCTAATTTATTGCCACATTTCTCCTAAGCTCCCTCTGTGAAGAGGCTTAGGCACCTTCACAGGTTAAGTGAGCTGAAGAACTCTGCTGCCATAAAGCAGTGCATATAAAAAGACAAAGTCTTTCCTGCTCCTTTCTTTTATTTCATACCATTAAACACAAACTATCAAAGAATGCCTCTTTGTGTTAATAGTTACTGAATTTGCTCTGCAACTGCGCGTTATCAGGTGGGATTTTTTTTACAATGCTGTTGCCCGTTGTTGTAAATCTATAAACCTCATTATCCAGGCTACTAGTGACTCCAGGTTAATCTGAGTCTAGTTTGCTTGTGCTGCAGCTTCCTCAGAGGCTTTGCATATCGCTTGAAAACTTTTAACCCACTGTTTAGGTAAGTATAAATGGATTGGCCTTTCATTTTCTAAAAAAAAAATAGCTACTTCAGAAGTTTTTCATAAAACAAACTCCTAAATCTTGCTTGTATGATGTTTTGTGGTATTTGTTGTCCCTTGGGATGATCTGTACTTCCCAATATTTCTTTGCCCTGAGGAGCTCAGCATTTCTGAAGACTTGACAGCCCTTGAAAAGGCTGAGAGGCATCTTTATCACCTGCCTGGCCAGGGAAGCGCTTGTACTCGGAGGTGCAAAGCAACACAGCATCTCGGCTCACCCAGTAGCAGGGACAAGCGAACCCAGAGGTGTTAGGACTGTTTCTCCATGCTGTGAGTGCTAGACTGATAGATCCAGTCGTCATCCTCAGACCTTGCACCGTCTGTGATACTGCCTGGCACGGTGGTACAGCTTGGTGCCCAAAAACCAAGTGGAATGAAACATTTTGTTCTTCACTGCCGCCCAAAAGAGCACGGTTTCTTTGCCACCATCAGAGAAGCTCTTTGAACATTTATGACATTGAGAACTGCCTCCTTTTTGTCTAAAACTTGGTGAGTGGATGGCAAGCTGCAGGGAGTCCCTCATTATGCTTTATGTGGGAAATTATGGCTTACATATTTTCAGCTGTTGTAAGCGTAGTGAAATATCCCCAAACCTTCTTGTTGATTTGTATGGAGTTTTCCGGAGTGGCCTGTGGATCTCACTGGTGGTGGCTCATGAAGGACTGGACACTTGCCTTTGGTTTACTGTCCCTCCTGGTCTCCAAAACAAGGAATGGAACAGATGGAAAGACATGAAAAAATACAAAGCGAAAGGAAACTAGACTGGGTTCCTCAATTCCCTTTGCTCTCCCCAGGAGAGAACTGCTGTAGACAATGGTAACAAAAGGAGCAGTGATATTTTTATCAGCTCTGAGTGTATATGTATGAATAACTGCATAGGAGTAAGGAGGAATGAGGCTTCATTTGTGAAAAAAGGAAAATTGTACAATGAACGGTTAAAGCTAAATGTGTTCTCTCTTCCCCTTAAATTAACACGTGAGCCATTGGTGGCAGAGAAACGTTCTTCAATTTAGAAAGACAGGGAAGGTGGACTTTGTGGATGGGAAGCTACCCGTAAGGGAATTTGCCTATAAAGGTGTGACACATACTGCAAAACCAAAATCCCAACACTTTTGTCCTCGCTGGAGTTTGCAAACCGCATGTATGTGATGCAGTGTCCCGCTTCCTGGTGCTGGAAACACTCGGCCAGCTGCCAGATTAATGGGGGATCTGGAAGGAAATAAGCAATATTAACATGTTTAACCATGGATTATTAACATAGCAATGTAAATATTATTGTTAACATGTTGCTACAAGATGGTACAAATCACAGTTTCATGACAAAAACCTTATTTTGTATTCACAAATGTGCTTGGCATCACGTAACACGGAAAGACTTGCATCACCCGCAGATATCTTCAGGCAGTTAGATACAATGGTTCAGAATAAAAGAGTGTTTGAACAAGATCAGAGGGAAAGGAGGAAAAAAAGTGTATGAGAAGAAAGAAGAGAAAACATTCATCATCTTGCTGTATGTTTTCTCTGGAAAACAATTTGGCACAAATGATCTTTTTCTCAAAGAAATCTGTGGAAAACTGCATTTGCAATGCTAATTGAGCTGCGGTCTAATGCGTACTGAGTTCCTGCTAATTTAGGTGATTGAGAAAATTGGAATAAAGTTTAAATTACGGCTTAGACATAAATGGAACAAAGCAAACTTTGTATTTTGTGTTTCCAGATAAAAATATTCCACAAAGGATGTGAAATTAAACCTAACGTACTAAATTACTCTTTTTGAGAAGATCCAGTTTTTAAAGTTATGAGCCCCTGTGAGGGGATTGCTGGGAGCAGTTTGCCTTCAAAGAAAGGCTCCGGCATTAACTGGGCACTGGCGCTGTCACTGCCTCCGGGTCTGAAATCTTAGAGCTGTGGCATTCTGAAAGAAACTCTTCCTATAAACCTCTCTTTTCAAATATCAGAGAATGGCAAATAATTAGGTGGTTTGCTTATTTTTAGTACAAGTACTTGAGGTACAGAGGGAGGCACCTATCTTACGGGTTTGCTTCTGTCAACGTGTATTTCACTTTGTGGCATACTGAAAAATTTTGCTGGCATCCCGCTGCACAGCACTTGTATATTTTTGCGTTTTAAATAGCTGATTGTATACTGGTTCCGTTTCGGAACAGAGCAGAAGCTTCCTGCATTGTGGAGTGGGTTCAGCCGGGCTGCAGCTCCCTGACTCTAGAAAAGTAGAGATTTATGTGTGTCAGTTAAGCCTATAAACTTCCAACATGTTGTAACTGCCCCTTAAAGCAATATTTCAGGGTAATACTGTCTTAATTGTAGGCAACAGTTCATTGATGCAATCCTGAGCTTGTACCTTCTGTGACTGTGTTAGAGTAGGAATGGCTGTGTACAAGGCTGTTTTAAGGCACTTTTTGATTAGATGTTATTAGGATCCAAAGTGATGCAGAGGGAGCTAAGAAACTTCTTAGGACTAAGCTGAAATGCTGGTGAAGCATTACACGTTCGTGATGAGCAGTGCTTTAAGCTTGATGAGGATCCAGCTCTTAATTCTGGAAAATCCTAATAGAGGAGTCCCGTGTTTTTGGAAGGGAACACACACTTTCCAGATGGAGAAGCTGTAGATCACAGCTGCTGTGGTTCCCACTCCCCACCGACATTTTCAGGGTTGGTGCATGGCCGCACCCGGATGCATCGGTCAGTTTTGACTCTCAGCACAGAAGAGCTTTGCTTCTCAGTCTTCTGCTGCTATGAAATGACACGTTTCTCCTAGCGCAGAACCCAGCCTTCTACCAGACAGGATCCTTTCTTCTGCTTTTTTGGGGTTTCCTTCTCCGGAGGACGTTTAGATTCCCTTTCTAGCTTCCTAAAACCACTCAGATGTCTGATGAGTGATGCAGTTGCTGTGCTGAGAGTGGAGAATGAGCAATGCCAGTTCAAGGAGAGTTTCTGTAACGGTGGTGTGAGAGCAGAGGTGGGGAGCTGAGTTTTTGTGGAGAGAAGGTGGAATGGTTGGTAACTCCACTTCCTCCTGTCCTGGCTGGTGATACCTGTATTATCACCTCTTACCCAGGCTGTAAATCCTTGACAATAACCACTTCTTCAGCAGTTGTATGCTGAGAAAGGCTGGAGGCTTTCCAGTAATAATAAAATGGACTGTTCAAATTGGGCAATCTGTCTACTTACTCATCTGGCAGTGATTCAGCAGCTCGCTCTAAAACATTTAACACAATTTTCTTAAATCCCAGACCCTTGTCATATATGAATGTGCTTTAAAATTGTGAGGCTGAACTCCTTGAAACGAAGGCCCAAATTTCCCATTATTTTTCAGCGTGGGGTGTCATATTGTGTACATTTTCAGAAACTCGAGTAACCTCAGCACTGCCTGGGGTCAGTGTGACTGACAGGTGTTTGGCAATGTAACAATTGGATCTAAGATTTGCCAATCTCTGAATGCAAAGCCATTGTCCTCTTAGAAATATGCTTCAGAATAATTTGGAGATGAAAATAACTTCTTTTTTTTTTCTCCGATCAGCAAAATGCGGAGCATGTGGTCCAGGATATGCAACCCCTCTGGATGCCATGAAAGGCAAGTACTTTAACATCTTTTCTAAATCCAGGCCGTCAGAAAAGGGATTGTTTCCAAATTAGGTGAAGACTAGGACGTTGGCTCATTAATTAGGAAGCCTAAGGAGACTTTAAATATCGGGAGAGGTTTTATGTCATTTTGAGTCCAACTCTGGGCAAAGTACGCAAGCTCTGTTACCATGAGTTCACTTGCCACAGCACCGAACCAAAGGCGGTTTGGATGTATGCACAGCTGTAAGATGCTAACACTCAGCAAACTTTCCTGCTTTAATATGCTGCAAAATAGAGCTTTGCTTTAAGAATATTGGGGGCAAGTGTTTAACCTAAAATAAAAAATGCTTCCTTGGTGGTTTTGGATGGTGACCTTTACAGACTACCCTCAGACTCTCTCATAAACACAAGTGATTGTCTAGGACAGAAGAAGGGGAGATAGGAGAGAGGACTGTAGGGTAATCTGTGTGACATTTCAGCGGCAAGCTTCTCATCTGCATGTAGCTGTGGTCTGTTCTTCCAAGCGGTGTCCGGCTAAATCCTGAAGCCCACTAGAGCCCTTAAGGCATTTTGCTATAGCTTTTAATTGTGTCAGAACTTCACCTTGAGTCCTTTGATATATTTTAGAAGCCTCAATTTTATAGATTGTGATAAGCAGGCTTTTGGCACCGGTAGACTGAAGGGTGGGCCCTGGCACTGGGAGTCGTCACTTGTGTAACTGGGAGGAGGAGATGCTTGATGCGGCCTTGCCGGTGGGAAGATGGTCTCCAGCACGTCCCTTTTTCAGAGGAAGAATGGTATCCCCAGGGCCTCTTGCTTTGGAGGGCAAGGGAGTGGAAAGGCCCCACAGCTGTACAAGCGCTTTCTCCTGGCTGTTTCTGGCTGCCCAAACTATATATTGCCAGTGTTTCTCCATACAGTGGAAATGCTGAGGTCCAGCTTCCTAGGAAGAATCACCATTTACAACAGAGAGATTAAATCTAGTGAAGAGTGTCTGAAAGTTAACCACAGCTTTTTGTAAAAAATGGTTTCTTTCAATGCATTCAACAAGACTTCTGCCTTGAAAGGTCCCCGGGAGGAGATTGTGTACCTGCCCTGTATCTACAGGAACACTGGGGTAGAGAAGCCTGACTACCTGGCCACTGTGGATGTTGACCCCCAATCTCCACACTACTGTCAGGTACCCCTATGTAGAACGGCTCCGGTGCTCTGTTTTCTGGGGTGGTGAATATTTGGGTTCGCGTTCTCCATTTCTAGCTTCTCGCCTGGTTTGTGACCCTTATGAAGGTTGGGTCTTGTGCAGCCTTTCGTCCCCTGCTCTGTGTCTGACTTCATGTTTCTTTTTCTTTTCTCATAATCCTGTTCAAGTAGATATTTGTGTTGAGAACAAATCAAATCCTCTGCTGTTCTTCTTAATAGGTTACTCAAAGCTAACATTTAGCTTGTTAGTCTCAAGATGCTTTCAGAGCATTTTTGTGCTTGGGATTTTAATAGTTCCTTTTGTAACACTGATTTATACTGAGCATGAGTTTTAAGCTCTAGAAGGTGGTATTTCCTCGCGGTGTGTCAGTGGTATGGAGAGAGTCTATAATGTAGGATGTCCAATACCCTGGGAAATTCTACACAGTAGGCATTATAAATATTATAAATCCAATCCATTTACTTCATAGATGGAAAGCTGTGGGTAGGTAGCTACCAATATGCCAGATCCAAAATACTGGTAAGACTGTCCTGAAGCTGCTCAGTTTGTTACTGCAAATAGTGTACACTTAAATGCATTTAGACACACAGTGCTGTATGACTGAAATCGCTGAAGATACTTTGGACTCTGATCTCCATGTGTTTAAGGAGCAGTGAATCTGGTTTGACAACAAAGATTTTCATAATTTGTTCTTTTTTTTTATAGCTACTGCTTAGAGTTTTATTGCGGAGGAGTGGAGGAAACAAATCTCCTAAAACTTTGACAAAACTCAGATGTAATCTTTCAATTTTTCTTAGTTATACAGTGGAAAAGTAAAAATCAGAGGCGAGAGTGCAAATTAACATGTCTGTTTGCTACAGTCAGCCCCAGTTGCAATCGGAGACTTGCAGCACATGGACAAGTGATGGGTTTGCTGTTGTTTTCCATATCATTGTTCCACATCTCCTTAATTAGAGAGAGTCTTTTAAAGATTTGGATTAATTTAATAGCATACAGCGTTTAGCAAATGCTGGGCAATCATGATGTCCAACTTTCTTCTCCCACTTTACAGCTTCAGCTCTGCATATCTTGGGCTGAATCTGCCTCCTGAATAACAAATAGCAGGTTCCTTCTGCTCTTTATTAATTTATGCTTTGACATAAAGACCCATTTCTTTGCCTAGGGGAAAAAACTATGCCAGACTGAATCTTAAGTCTGTCTCTGACTTTGTAGGTGATCCACCGCCTGCCCATGCCTAATCTTAAGGATGAGCTCCATCATTCAGGGTGGAATGCCTGTAGCAGCTGCTTTGGGGATGCCACAAAGAGAAGAAACCGTCTGATTCTACCAAGTCTCATCTCTTCTCGCATTTATGTGGTGGATGTGGGAACAGACATGCGAGCTCCTAGAATCCATAAGGTATATTTAGATGACTTTAAGCTGGGATTTTATTTCTTATATTTTGACCAAGAGACGGTGATTTTGTGGATGCCAACTTCAAATTAGAAAAGGAGAGTTGGAACAGTTATGGAAGCTTTTGTCAAATATTAGGAACTTGTGGGAGTTTTGAAACTCCTCCAGTTTATTAATAAAGTACACACAAAAGTCTCACACTAAAGAAATACGAGTAAATGCAGCATCAAACACTGAAGAATTAGGCAGTTCCAAAATTCCGCCTGCCTCTGCGATATGTGTTTCAGTCGAAGTAGTTGCACACTGCATTATTGGTTTTGACTACAGGACCTACCTGACACCTTCAGCTGAGCGTACGTAGATTGTGTGTTTTTCAGAGATGAGTTCAAATTTGATTGGATTTTCGCTAAGCAAAACCAGGTCTCTTCCGTAAAGGACACCTCCTCCTTGATTTGTAATCCTTGGTTCCTAAACATGGGATATGTAGATTTTTTAAAAGAAAATTTGAAGAAAATGTTTTAATATGGGGAAATGAACATTTTTTAAATCTCTCGATCATGGAAACAACTGAAATTTTCCCACTGCAAATAGAATTCATTTGGCAGAGATTCAGATACTGGCATAGATATAGGTGCAGATACACACTTACACTTTTTCATGTCTAACTGTTTAGATTCTCTTTACAGTTAGTGAAAAAAAAAAGGTATTGCTGGAGTCAGATTTGTCTAACTTAGTTCAGAAAAGTGTTTTAGGTAAAGGAACTGTGTCTTAAGAGTGTTTGTTTCTTTTCGCTGGCTACAAAGTAAGCATAGAGGATTAGCTTAGATGTAAATATATACACTGTCAGGTGTGAAACTGCTGTACAAAGTTCCAGGTTTGGCAGAGACTGTATTTTGGAGACAGGTCACACTGTGGAATGTAAGGAAACTTTTAAGTGGTCTTTTGTCCCACCCCACCTGCCTGCCAATACTCTCATTCAGAGTCTTTCAGTTGGGAGTTCTGTAGGGCTCTGCCGGCCTTTAACTGTTAATGCAGTGGAATAAACCCCCCCAAAGGTCTCTTCCTGTACAGTGAATTTGGTTTCAAACTGAGTCTCTGGCAAGCCTCAAAGATTTTTTTTTCCCCCTCTGAACTGCTGGTACTCCAGTGAGAGCTGATGCCTGAATGCACACAAGTGGTGTTTCTGCCACTGATACTAATTAAAACAAACGCAGCTGTCGGTGCCTCACTGGTGCAGGAATTAGACGGATTCTAACCATTCCACTCTTGGTGTTTATATTTTTGAGAAGAACAAATAAATGTCATGGAGTATTACTGGGCAGAGTAGAAAGTGGGAGGTGGCAGGTGCTGGAAAAACAAAGTAGCAGCAGAAACAATCCCCCACACATACGCCATTCCCACTCCTTCCTCAGGCTTCGAAACCTTCACTCTTAGGAGTGGAGCTGGTATTCTGCAGCCATCTCAGGGAAGCTGACTGTGACTATGTGTATGTTTATTTTAGATTGTCGAGCCAGTGGAGTTGTTCTGGAAGGGTAATGTGGCTAATCCTCACACGTCTCACTGTCTGGGCAGTGGTGACATCTTAATCAGCTGTTTGGGAGACCCTTCTGGCAACGGAAAAGGTACTAATCCCCTTCATTACTCTAGAAAGGTATTGGTGGTATAGAAGTGTCCCGGTCCCAAAGTACAGGCTGCAAAGCCAGAAGGATTTGTAAGAGCTTACAGTTCTTGTGTGCACATCACCATTCCAGCAGCTGTTTATTTAACTGTAGAAGAAATACTTCAGGTACCAGGGAAGCTGTATGGACATGACTCTGCCATTCAGACCTGGTGTGGAGGCACCTCGATGAGTTCAGCTTCCATGTCTCAGTCTTTCACATATATTACTAAAGACAACCAGCTCTAGTGGTTTTAATACGAGCAAGAAACCCACTAACGTTTCACTTGGGTCCCTTCAGCATAGAGCAAGGAGGAATTGCTTTCAAACGTCATCTGTATCAGCTCAGTATTTGTGACTTGGCCATGAAAGATTCTGTTGCCACCCTAAATCCTCTCCATCTCACTGTCTAATGAAAATGAAGCCTTTCAAACTATTCTAGAGTGCACTTCCTATTTAAAACCTTTGAAGCATTCTTGTGTATAAATGTCGTTACCTGTTCAGACATAAAGCACCTGACATCTAAAGAGAAATACTACCTACTAGGAGAAATAGGCTTCAGATGTAAAAGTGGTGAACCCTGCTGCTTTTCATGGGGTTTTTCTCTTCTGGAGTGTGAGCAAACATGTCCTTGAATAGATGCATATTATGTATGTAATTCAAGGATACTGGTGGCAAGCAAAGAAAAACAGAGGTGACTCCTCCAGGATCTTCTCTAACATATCTCTTAATTGAAATGTACTCTAGGAGACTTACTGATTTATTGGAATGACTTGAGTAAGACATTGAGCCAACTGGAGCTTAAAAAATTCATTACAACATGATGAAATTCTTTAAAAATCCAGCTTTCATTTGCTTTAGTCCACAAAAGCGATACTAACGGAATGACAAAATTTTCTTTAAGCAGAGTTGCATTTTACAGCGTGTTTCAAAAACAGACATTTAAATATTAATGTATTATTTAACTTATTTAAAGCTGTGAATCTGTGTGAATGTCTTCAAACAACTTTCTTTGGTTTTTATATCAGGTGGCTTTATTTTGCTGGACGGAGAGACCTTTGAAGTGAAAGGAAATTGGGAGAATGGGGAAAAGGTACCTCCCCTGGGTTACGACTTCTGGTATCAGCCACGACACAATGTCCTGATGAGCACCGAATGGGGAGCCCCAAAAGTCTTGGCAGATGGGTTTAATCCAGCTGATGTAGAGAGAGGTGAGGAAGTGTTTAACTCTCAAAAGTAAAAGGGATTCTTGTTTAAACTAGTATCTTCTGTGCTTATTTCTGTCTGACCTGATCCATTAGGGCATTATGGCCGCCGCATTAATGTGTGGGACTGGAGCACTCACACATACGTTCAGGCAGTTGACTTAGGGAAGGGCTCCATACCTTTGGAAATCCGATTCCTCCACAATCCGGATGCCGCAGAAGGGTTTGTTGGATGTGCACTGAGTGGTGCGGTGCATCGCTTCTACAAGACAGAGGTACGTAATGAAAGCCACGGCAAGTGCAGAAGCTCAATCCTAGTTGTTTCAGAAATCCACCAATCACTTAGGAAATAAATAGAATTCTGATTAATTCTAGCCAAGCTATAACATTGTGTCAGAGAGCAAACCTGCATGCACAAAGCCAATGCCGCAGCTTTCTGAAGCTCCCGCATAGTCCCTCATCTTTGAGCAATTGCAGTTGGAAGTCTCTGCAGCCGTAGTGCTGATGCCTAGCATGCAAGTCTTCAGCAGCCTGACCCTGAAAGGAAGCAAAGCTTAGGAGGTCATGGTGCTGGTCTGTCAGCCCCACTTCCATCTCTCCTGCCCTCCAGATTAACTCATTGATCAATTTAATCACAGTTAATGAATTGTGAAGGTCTCAAAGGTCTTGTGAATGATAGGAACATTAGTGATCACTTGAACATGAGACAATCCACTTGCAGTGAGGAAAGGGCTGCAGCATTAGCTCAGCAGCTTGCTTTTCGGCCTGCCGGCTGGTCAGCAAACATATATGAATGGGACAGACCACGCGAAACCTGTCACCGGTGTCCATGTGTGCTGCCTGCTGCACGGACAGTATTTGGACACATAGGGAAGACCCAAAGGGAGAGGAGGAAAGGAAAGCCGTGGGGTCACAGACAAGGGGAGCAGAGCTGTGGCCTGTTTAGAGGGCGAGTTGGAGACAGACAGGGCACCAAACTGTGGGAGATGAGCAGTCTATAGTTCTGCTACTGTTACAGCAGTCTGAGGTGTTGGTGCGTGGTATAACCATTAACATTCTCACTGGCACTGTAGTTGCCATCCTCACCCCTTGGTAACACTTACTTGCAGTGTGCATATCACCTCTGTACAGGACCTGCTAAATACATAGCACTGTTTGCTTCTCCTCCCCCTGTCATGCATCGCTGAGCTCTCTTGGTTGACATCAAGGCAACAATAATGCCGTGTTCTCTCCTGTGCCCTCTGCAGAAAGGAGACTGGGCAGCAGAGAAGGTGATTGAAGTACCCAGCAAGAAGGTGCAAGGATGGCTTCTCCCTGACATGCCAGGTTAGTGTGAGCGTGTTTGGGAAAGAAATGGGGTGTTCTCCTCTTCCATTTCCCTAGTACAGCCAATTTCCCTAGTACAGTGAGCTTTTTGGAAAAATCTCATCCTTAAATGGCAAACTCTTCCCTTGTAAAATTCTAAATTTCAGTTTGGGTTCTTTCTGCAGCACTTCTGATGTAACCAAATTAGCCTGGCTTATGGGCCACCAAGCAGGAGATTGTCAGGCCTCTGCTCCCACACTACTCAGTGCTTGAGGCCAGTTTCTTGGAGTTTGGGTCTTTCGGCATGAGCTCACAGTATTCAGGAATGGTCCTGGGAATGCTGGTGGAACCTGAACCTCCTTTGAGTGGGCACTGGTTTTCCAAGGCTGATTCTGTTTGTTCAACCCATATCTTAACAAATTTTTCTGACGCAACTATGACTAGAATTTTGTGGTCTTGTTTGTTGCTGGTCCTGTCCATTTCCTGACTTGGCTACTGAATATGTTCTTGAAGGTCTGATTACTGATATCCTCATCTCGCTGGACGACAGGTTCCTGTATTTCAGCAACTGGCTGCACGGAGACATCCGCCAGTATGACATCTCCGACACCCGCAAGCCCAAGCTGGTGGGACAGGTGAGGCAGCATCAGAAAAGCTGTCACGTACAAGGGCAGTACAATCCTTTTATTTCCTTCTTTTTTCAGAGGAGAAAACGTCAATTTACTTTTGCTTGAGAATTGTCACTACGTTGCTTTCATGTTCCTTTGATAGCTGATGCCTATTCTCACACATTCCCTTGGCTACAGGTGTTTCTGGGAGGCAGCATCACAAAAGGTGGGCCTGTAACTGTACTGGAAGACAAGGAGTTGCAGCATCAGCCAGAGCCATTTGTGATCAAAGTGAGTTTTCCAAACATGCATGTTGTCAGTGCTCTGCTAATTGCAATCCATTTTGAAATATCCTGACCCCTCAGTCAAAGGTACCGCCTATAAAGCCAAATCTGAGCTAGTTTAGATCTTGGCTCCCAGCCTGGGCAGGTATCACATCTCAGCACGGGCTGGAGTTGGTAAATCCTGGTAAGTGTTCTGGGTCCCAGGTGGGATCAGACAAGCTGTTCAACTGAACTGAAGCCTGTGTAATTACATCTTCCCTGCTGTTGGTAGCTAGCTAATTTAAAGCTAATGCAGTATGCATCCATCACGCTGCCATCATTGCTTCTGATACTTTTTTAACAACTGATGGTCGAAGCACTAAACCAGCTCATTCTGCAGTGGGGGGAGTGTGTGTGAAAATGAAAAAGCATTAATTGTCTCTGGTCATTAGCAACGTGCATTACTATTACCACTGCCAAGGCAGCTACCTATGGAAAGTCTTGTGGGATGTGCAAGAACTCAGTATGGTCACAGCTAAGCTCTGTTGGCCACTGAAGGCAGTTTCAGGAAGTTCCATGTACTCCTTGTCTTCACAGTGCAGACTGTGACCTAGCGGCAGCATAGACACGTTCTTGTTTGCAACTGTGTTATACCACCCACCTCCTGATTTTTGACGCTTCCATCCAGGTACAGCAGCCTGGACCCTTCAGCCCTTATTTCTTACATTACTAGTTCTGTGAATTAAGTGGGACTCGTCTGAAATGGCTTCAAGGCTCCCTGTTAGGAAGGAGTCAGACTCCCAGTAAAAACTGTTCTCTCCCCAAAGTAGGGGCTTGGTGTTCTTGTGTCAAGGATTTCGGAGTGCTGATGGTCCTCCGAGTAGTAGAACTGCTGTGCTGTTTTGTTTCTCCTTGCTGTTGCTTTTCTTTTGTTCAACCTCTGTGGCAGCATGTCTTGACCGCCTTGTTCTCTATTACCATTTTAGGGGAAGAGGGTGCCAGGTGGTCCTCAGATGATTCAGCTTAGTTTGGATGGGAAGAGGCTATATGTCACCAGCTCTCTCTACAGCGGATGGGACAAGCAGTTCTACCCAGACCTTGTCAAGTAAGAAAACTTTGGTAAACGAGGATGGCTGTACAAGCCCGTGTTCCAGATTTCTTTCTTAAATAGCAATATGCATATACCAGCTGGTATACGGAGCAAAGTTCCCACGCAGGGAGGGCGAATCCAGTAACTTTTTATACACAGCCTACCCACTAGCCAGAATCCATCCTTGCCCAGCAGGCACACAGGAGTTGGGGTCTGCACACGGTGTTTGTTGAAATCATGAGCTATTAGGAAATAGGTGAAAATGGGAAGAAAGCAGTGAAGGTGAGCTAGCCTCCTGGAATCTGTAGTACTTCCAACCTGCCTGTGCCTGTATCAGCATGATTTTCTGGTTTTCGGTTAAAGGAGATGATCTTCCAGATGGCCACAGGAGGGCATGGTGCAGCTCGCTGCTTCCTTCCGAAGTAGCAGCAGCTATTCATTTTCACTCGTTCATTGCTAATTTGAGGTTGCAGGTTTCACCGAGGCGATGTAACTCACTTTTGATGGAAGAGAAGAGCAACAAATACAGACCTTTTTCCCACTCTCTGTTTTCTTGTCCCTTTTTCAGGGAAGGCTCTGTTATGCTGCAGATTGATGTGGATACTGAAAGAGGTGGATTGAAAGTGAATAAAAACTTCCTAGTGGATTTTGGGAAGGAACCTGATGGGCCTGTCCTAGCTCATGAGATTCGTTACCCTGGTGGAGACTGTACCTCTGATATCTGGATGTAACTGTTGTTTGGAGCTGTTTTCTCTTTTCTTGTTCTTTCCTCCTCTTTCTCTCTCTCTCTCCTCCTGACCCTCCACTTCCCTTTTGTGTAGGTGAATCGTTTCAGCTGGAAATTTGTCCGCAATCTAAATTTAGACTTCCATTAGGATGAGCCACAGAAGCTCTGCTTTCTTCTCATTCTGAGGCAGCCAAGTGAATCTCTCTGAAACATGATATACATCTCATTTTCTCTACTTCTTCCCCTTTCGTAAGGTCCCATGTAATCACTATTGACTGTAGGTTTCATGGCCAAGGTCACCAGTCTTTTAAGGACCGTTTGCATTGTCTGGTGCCACTTTACCTTGTCACTGTTTGGTGGTGGAGAAGCTGTTCCTCAATGACTCTGTATCCAGTTCCATGGGCTTGCCCCAGAGCAAGAGTGTCCTGTCCCTGCAAAGCTTAATTTGCTCATAAAGTACTCAGTGCTTTACAGCAGACACAGCATAAAAATCATGCATATCTAATCTGAAGCCACATGTTTCCAGAGCTGGGTTATATTTTAACATTTGTGCACTGATGTTATAAAAAAATCAACAATAAAATTGTTCTCCAAGTCAGGTGGAACTTCACTTTTTTTTTTTTCTTTTTAGCATTTCAGCCTTTTCTATTTCAAAGAACACAAAATGTAAATTCATTTCAGCAAGTTAACAACGTCTTTTGTCTAAAAATTCTTTGGTAAGCAATTTACTTTCGCAGAAGCCACCTTTGTTCCCATTATCAGAAGCAAAGATTCTCTTCCATGTTCTAAGACCGGAGAAAACTGCAAAGAGCTTTTCTGCCCACTGAGCCAAAGCCAGGTGATCCTGGCAGCAGGTGTCTTACAGGTGTCTTCCTCTTCTTGAACAGACAAGCACTCACAAGTCCACCCTTTCTTCTCTTGCCAGTTCCCGATGCGTCTTCCTGAAGCTGTTTCTTGGGTCTGATTCTTTTTTCTGCCTCTAGATCTGTTGCTTTCCCATCTGTGTCCATTGCCAGCCTCTGCTGTTCCCTGCTGAGCTTGAGCATTGCCAGTTGTAACACGGGACTCACATCGGCAACGTTGGAGGAGCAGTGTCTCAATGCAACTTCCCGCTGGAGCCTTTTGGCTGGGTTTTTTTCTGACTTTTCCTGTGCTTCCACAGCAAAATCCTCATCTAGCTGACAGATCTTACTTCATAATCAAGACTTCATTCTGCTGATTGTCTGGCCTAACATATTTGGAACCAGGTTTTGAGAGTTTGATTTTGTGTTTTTAGCATAGGGCAGCGGGATTGCTGCCCCTTGGTCCCTTTGAAACCTGTGACAAGCAGTTCTGTGAGGACCTGGTAAAGCCTGAGAGCTTTCTAACTGACATGGCGTTGTAGCTACCCGTGTCTGATGTAAAAGCCCATTTTCAGCAGCTTCTTGTTTGAAATGGGTGATGTTTAAACCATCTCACTGTGAGGACCCATTGCTTGCCTTGCGAAGGGACTGGTTGCAAGAATGGAGTGTATGCTGCTAACCCGTGCAAATGCCGAGTGGGTACTGTGAGTACTCAGTGTCTAAACAATCTCATGTTTCCCAGGAAAGTCATGGATTTGTTAGGAAATCATTTGCCACCAGCCGATACTACTGGAGCCCGTATTGTTTTCGCACCTATTTCCTATGGGATGGAGCGTTTTAAATTGGAAAAGGTGCCTCATCTTCCACATGGCCACATGAGGGCAGATGGCAGCCTGTCTTCCTGCAGCACAGGAGCAGATGGAGGAGTTCCTCTCACTCTACCAGCATTTTTAGGTCGTGATTTTCCATAGATCACAAACTTGCTAGTGAGGGTGGCCCTCAGGTCTCTTCTCAGCCCATCAATGTGTGGCAGGGTGACCAAGGTCTCTCATTCCAGCTACAGCGAACACTCCAGTCTGGTTCCTGTCCTAAAATCTCCATTTGAAATGCCCTTGAATACAAGTGTGTACAACTACTGAAGTGCAGATTGCTTCTATTCCTTGTAAAAACTAAATGCCAAATGCAAAAACATGCTTACAGAAAGAAGAGAAGCAAAGCATGGGACTCGCTTGAATTAAAATACTTTCTTTTTTCCTAACATTTGTTAATCTGGATACTGAAAAAGGTAAGCTGTGAGTAGAGAGTTCCTTGTGAGTCTGGGAGGAAACCAATGGGTCTTGCCATGCTTATGGGATCCATGTCCATAGGAGAGATTCTGCTTTTAGTATGTGTGCTTGTCTGGGTCTATTTATTGCAAGGTGAGCTTTACCATGGACTCACCTGACCACACCTTCGTTGGCTATAAGGAGGTTTCTGAGGGGATGCTGTCATGGTGAATACCCACAGTCGGTCAGAGCCCGTTGGAAACACACCCTGGAATTGCAGACGTTAGCCAAATGCCTGCTTTTTGGAGAATCTGTGAAGGGGTTGTGAAACCTTCCCCTCATGACTGACCAGGGGCTCTCTCATGCTTGTCAAAGTGGAAGAAATGCCTGCAGTGAAACAAAATAACTTGGTGGATGCAGAGAAGGGTCAAAAAAAGATACCTGTTCATTCAGCGTGTAGAGGTTTCACCCACTGACCAAAATCCATCCTTACTCACAAGCACACAAAACTGGATCTGCACATGCTGTTTGATACTGTTTGTTGAAACGTTGTAAGAATGTGAAGAAACAGGTGAACATGACCTAGCCTTCTGCAGTCCCTGGTACTTCCAAACTGCCTCTGAGTGCATCAGCATGACTTCAGTTTTTGGCATTAAAGTAGATGATTTTCCAGGTGACCACAGGAGGGCATAGTGCAGCTTGCCTGGGCCCTCCTAAGTTACTGTCTCCCGGTTTTCATCCATTGATTGTTAATTTGAGGTTTCCAATTCATTTATATTTATGCTGCCAGGCATATCCAAGGCAAGTAGATGTGTTTATATAAAAAAAGGAGACTATTTGAAGTATTTTCAAGGAGTGTGACAGGACAGCAAGGTATGTTATATCCCAGGTAGTAGCTGGGAAAGCATTATAAATGAGAACAGTTTCTGCATAAGTGAAGCCAGAGCAGTCACGATGCAAGTCACCATTAAAAAAACCCTATTTTTTGGACTGCTGCCTTGAGCTCTCTACTTCTGTGAAGACTGACCTCCTACTTTGGAGTCTAAGAGTTTGCATTTCCATCTCCTTCAGTTGGAGGAAAGAAGCCATTCTTGTTTTCATTTGTTAGAAGCTCAGAGTCTGATTTGCAGTGCTCATAGGGACCTGTAAGGGAAGTTGCTACTGCCTTTGGGCAGAGGTGTGGAAGAGGGGAAGAAGCAGGTCCTGCTCATCTGCCCTCCCCAGCTGCGTGATGCCGCCACTCCTCTCATGTCTGATGGAGCGATTGTGCAGTCGCGGGAGGAGTCGGTTGCCGGAGCTGATCCGGCAGAAAAGCGTGCTGCCAAAACAGCGACTCACTGTCCACCTCCCCGTGGCTGCACCCCGCAGGGCCCTTCAGCGGCAGCCTGAAATCACTGCTCGTTACGTGGCCTCTGAAATCACAACCTCAGGATGTGGCTTTTGGATGGCTCTGTCTGGTTGTAGCTGTGGGCTGCGGTGGGGAGGGGTGATCCCACTGCTGCCGCGCTTCTGGCCAGAACTTTCTGCCCCCTCCCCTGTGACTCCTGCCCCACCTAGTCTTGCCCATTATCAGAATTGGAGCATGTTCTTCCCTATCAGGGCTGGACGAGACGGTGGGGAGGAGGGGAGTAGTTGCCGCCTCGGCGTGGGCTGTCCAGTGAAGCCCTTGATTGCTTTTCCATGCCACGGTTTCCCATCTCTGCCTACCACAGGAGCTTTTCTTGGGCCAAGAGCAGACCACGCTGATCGTGTTCTCCGCTGACCATCGCTTGCTTTTGTGTTGGCGTTGCTGAGCCTGCTCTTACCCTTCCTCCTATCAGTCTTAATTAGAAAACTCTACACCCCACAGCTTGGTTTTGTGAGGGATGCCAAAGACGTCACCAAGGAAAGCCAAATAGGATGACCAGCAAGCTTTGTTAATGAGCCGGGAGACTAATGAACTTTTTAATTAGCAGGTGTGCGGGTGCAAGAAGAAGGTGCAGTGAGACATGCACGTTGTGGCAGCAGAAGCATGCGAGGAGGCATCAGCCGAGCATCTGAAATTGCCTCTGATGGAGCAGGAGCTTCTCACGCGTCCTCGGGCCGTGGAAGATAGCCCACGTTCAGCACTCTGGGTCTGCTGGCACTGGCCGGTCAGTCGTCGTTTTGTCAGTGAGGATGCGCAGTGGTCTTTCACTGAGTCTCCTCACCGTTTGGAGATGCTGACGTCCTGCACACATGAAACCTGGTATTACACTTACCCCCTGAAGTCCGGTGTGGAGCCCAGTGCCTTAATCCAGCTTGGCCTGGTGCAGCTGACCTGCCCCACGTGCAGTGTAGCTCTCTGCTGCCTCTTTCTTCTGGCATCCTTTGCATCCTTTCCTCCTTAGCTTTGGTGTTTTTTCTGACATCCAGGAAGGGTTCCTCTCTTGGGGTCTTCCAGGTCCTGGGTGGATACCCTGCTCAGTTAACTGGGGTGCTCCAGTGCTGTGGAAAAGCCATCCAGAAGTGCCCCATTCCATGTCAGAGTTGATCCGAGGACAGAATTTCTTTCCGTGTGGTTATTCTTGCCCAGGATCTCAACTTCTCCCGTGGTCAGTAACGTAAGGCTTTGAGCCATTCCTTTGCATGCTTTCTCCTTTTGCCCATGACATTATTTTAATGCCGTCTCCTTGCCTTATAGTGAACCTTGGCGTACGTGGGACGCAGCTTGTCAGTAGGAACCGTACATCGACTGGTGTCACGGAAGTGTCGGGCTGTGGCAGGTACCGATCCCTCTCCCGGCTGCCTTTGCCTCTTGCACCGAAACTGCTGAGATGGATTTCTGGTAAACAGATCACGAGTTCTTCCGATTGCAGCAATTTGCTGCTCCTGGCTTAGAGAAAAGACCAAGAGTTTGGCTGCTCCCATGTGCGCCTGTCGCATGTTTAAAGCACTGCTCTGGAAGTCATTAATTACAGCCCTGCTGAGATGGGCTAAGCTGTCCTCTCTTCTGATAGAGATCTCCTGAGGGCTTCTTTAATGGCGCTGTCAGATGTTTCTGCATTCCTTCGTGGAGCAATTACCTCTCCCGTGTAATT